GTGGTGGTGGTGGTGGTGGTGGTGGTGGTGGTGGTGGTGGTGGTGGTGGTACACAGAAGGGTTGATGAGCAGGCGGTCCCAGTGACTGACGGGCGCGCCGTGAAAAGGGGAACGTGTGTGTGGGGCTGCAATGACCGGGGTGTTTAACGTGAATCAACAAGATTCACTACAGCTGCTTGGCATGAAGTGCGTTGATTCCCACTCGTTAATCCGGTTGCTTCAGTCTTCGACACAATGTCTACGTTCTCACAGTATGTCGTCGGCAGCGCGAAACCCCAACTACCACCTCATTAGCGCGAACGATTATCCTGAATTTTCCCCAAACATAACACATTCGTGACTCATGCTGTTTCACACATCCGAGGTATAACTACCACACGCGCACACGCCACACATGGCACAACGACACCAACTTGGTCGAGACCTGAAATAAACGGTTATGTCTACGTCCTCGTCGGTACTCTTCGTCATCACGGGTAGCAGGGTAGTGTGATCGGGCCAGAACCAACTCCGTGGCCCCAGCGTGGTCCAAGACCACACGCGATTTCTGCCAACACGACCTCCGAAATGTAATTCTTTTTCTGTAGGGAGGACTTACCTACTTTGGTTCTGATAACAGACAAGTAACCTGGTTGACACCCAAGGGCTGAATTTTGTGTAAATTGATAAAAAAATGGTATCCGTAAATCAACCGGAAGTAGCCTACGGTAGCTAGACTTGTAATCACTTACAAGAGTGATTTATGTGGATGCCTTTCTGAACTACCACATTGCCTAAATGAGGGAGACAAGAGTTCGACTCTTGAAACCTTAGCTGAGACCTCCCTAGAAGTTGCTACAGACGAAGTCGAGAGGTGCATGGCAGCGATAATTACGAGACGAATGCCACGAGTATAGACGGCACTAGATACAACCAACTCCGCCATATTTTCACCAGCACCAAAGTTTCGCTCAAGTTCGCAAGCCGTAACATGGCAGTTGCTAGTGCTATGAGATACTGAGTATCAGTAGCATACTACTACGGGTTTGCCATTCGATTGATTTTTCTTTCCTCTAGCGCAAAAAGGAGTTAGAATTCCACAACCAGGTTGAAATTACAAGCAAGTAACACCTATGGAAAGAAAGTAGAACTGCAAACTTCGCAAAATGACCTCAAACCAGCATTGCTGTATGTTTTAACACACAAGATAAACCTCAGTTCAGGTAAACATATGCAGATTAATTGGTACAGCAGCAAAATACGGGCCTACGCGTTGCGTTTGCCACACTACCCGTTAAAAACACCAAAGACGCTTCCACGTGACCACCGGAGCTGTGATCAGAGTTGAATTAAGCCCGGCATGACACAGCGCCTGTTTTTGCCTGTGAAATCCCATAACACGTCAAGACGCGGTTACCCATTGGTCAACAGAAAATGAATCAATCGCACACAGAAAAATCATTCTGAGAAAAAGAACACCGACAGCTAAAGCAGATGATGATTTTCTCACCGAATTTGTTGAAACACCAACATACAGATACGCAGTTGTCCTTGTGTGAAATCACGAGAATTGATGCATTTGATTTTTCCAGTTAACAGTAAAAACCAACCTGACTGATTTCCCCATGTTAGGGCGTATTTCAACAGCAGGGGTTTTTAGTGCACAAACGTTGCATTAAGCAACAGAGACAAGGAGGACTCAAAAAAAAATACAAATTGTATTTGTCAATGACTTTGGTCCGGTAACACAAATCTTTGATTATCACCACCTGTCTTATATTTTGTCGTTAGATTGCGTTGAAACAAAGTCAATGGTACGATGTAAAGCAAATGCCAGCATAACTCATAAGCCATTTGCGGAAACAAACGGCTTTACTTCGACGGAACTCTTTTATCACCTTCGATGCGGCGTAAAAACGGGCTTATAATGCAAGCCCTAACGCTTTGGCAAGGCAGTGCGAATTCAGCGCGAATATGCTCAACTAGTTAATTTTCAGAGTAACGAACGTACACGCCAGTAGTAAGGAGCTGCACGTTAATGACGAAATGGCAGTCAGTGTATCAGAGGGATTCAATGAGTTAAACCCAATGACTCCTGTGTAAATACATGACGATATTTCATAAGTGACTAACCTTTACGGCATTTGAGACGGTACCCTGCTTGAAATGTGAATTCAATGTGGCGAGGAAGCGCACGTCTTCTTTTGTCAAGTGTTCTGAACGCTTTTTTATCCAAATTTTTACGTGTTGGATCGAGTAAACTTGAACACTGTACGAGCCGACCTTAAGGAGACGAGAAAGTAGCCTTTTAAAGACGTCATGCATCATTAGTCAAGTCCATCACTAGTGCCTAGAGGTTTTGTTGGGAGTTTTTTGACAGGGCAAGCGAAATTTTTTTACAGTAAGTGCCCCTGCACGAGCAAGTAAACGTCAGTAACAATAAGTGTGAACCAGAGTCAATATTCTAAATGCAAAAGTTATCACAAATCATTCGAAAGTATTTTAAAAACGTGCAGCACTTCAAAAGTGACCTAAGATTTTAAGATTTTTCGGCAACAAGACCACACCTCGGAACCTAAGTATTTGAATCAGCGCTGATGTGGAAATGGGGGGAAGTGAACACTTGAAGAGTGCTCAATTTCTTCAACACTGGTCATCGCAAAAGATGCAGGGTGACCTTCAGGGAATATCTAAGAGGTCGATTCTAATTGTTAACAAAGACTTATTATTATGTATGCTGTCAAAACACTAACTGCATGTTGAGCTAAGGTATTCTGGTAGAAGATTCTGTGTGACACTGCGGCGATAGGCGACAGTGAAACTCACCTTCTCAATCACACTTTCCTTGCGCCAAGGAAATTTTGAAGAGTCCTTTTTGCAGTTCATCTGACTGAAGTCGATGTGCATTCGAACAAGCGGCATATGGAGGGCTGTTTGAACAGTCTCATTCAGCCAATCATCGCTATTTTCGCGCGTCATCTAGAGGGAGGAAAGTTCCTTGCCTTAATGTTGAGCTTCACTAAAAGCATTTAGGCAGTCTTCCAACCATACTCTCATACATTAGCCAAACCAATTCTGGGTTAGCTAAATGGGACTCTTTCCCAGAATAGAGCCGAAGTTTGGTTAAAAGGCGGTTAGACAGGACCTCAAAACCATTAATAACAGGTCAAAAGGGGAGATGTTTGGAAAGAAACTAGGACTTCCATGTGCAGATTGGCACAGGTACCAACGAAAGGTTTACGGGATGAATCTAGCCAAGCACCAGATCCCAAAAACACCACAAAGCCACATAACATACTACTACTAAGAAACAGTGGAAAAAGTGTGGAAATTCATGATGCCCGGTTATTAAAGCGATCAAAATTGTCAGACGATAGGGTGTGAGTGTGTAATGGATTAGAGGGGGGTTGTGCTAGGGCAGTCTTCTTCTTACCGTTCCATCAAGGATTTGGTAGCTCCGGTGATTGTGGTCAATAAGGCAAATACGAGACTCAAATGGTTTGCTGGCATCAACAATTATGCTCAAATGACCCCTAACCCAATCCCGATTTCGAAAATCTAGCAGTGTGGTGTCCAGCCTAAAAAGAAGCAAAATTGGGTTGATATTAGATCGCATTTGCAACACTGCAATAAATGCATTGTGTATCGCGGTCTGACGTATAAGAGCTTACCTTTGTGGGTGTAACTCCTGACAATAATACGCTTATTACAACTGTGGAAAAAACACCGAAAATACTTCCTGGGAGTTATGAAAATGTTTTGTAAACAACTGTGTCATCATGCTAATACCTACCTGAAATTGACTAGCATTGTCGTTGCTAAACACAATAAACACACTACGTTTCGAACCTTTTGATACCACACATGAAGCAAACAGCGTCAGAACACACCTCAGGTTCATGTTAGGTGGCATAAAACAAGCGCCCCGATACGAAAGGTTGCAAAAGTAAAAATTATCATACACGACAGGAAAATGATTAAGGGTCAGCCAAAGGAGGCCAGATTGAAGTGGCCACCATCATCTACCGGCGTAGATTGAACGTGCTACAGCATAGTATACATATAAGCCAATGTCACAATGAGAACCATGCTGAAAGCAATTTTCCGAAGACTTGCTTATTTTGACAAAAACGAGAGATTTACCTTAGTGTTTTTAGTACCCAATAAAGCATGAATACTTGCAGACATGCACCGTTCTGAGTCAAACATACAACCAATCGTATGGGAAAACGAGTACATTAAGAAATAAGCCAGCAACTAAGCGCGTGACCCCCAAGTACTACACCAGCAATAATTTTGCCATAAAATTTTATGATACTAAGTAGTTGTAGTCTATCTGTAGCTCCGTACCTGAGTCTGTTGATTAATGCATGAATAATATAGTGACACAAAAACAGTGGACCAATTAATGAATTGGGTGGGCAAGTCGCTTGTATCACCCCACTTGTTAAGACACGAGATTATGTTCCAGACACGATAGAAGTCTACATAAAAGTGACAAACACAGCACAAATCATTGTTAAAAGAGCAAGCCAAACATACCTGACAAGATTATTTTTTTTGAACAGTCGGCAGTTATCCGAAGGTAAATGGCGAGCAACGAAAGGAACTAAAATAGTTATTGTTGTTAGCAAACAAAATCAAAATTTGTGCGCATGATAGTGTGGTAAAATGATGTGCGGTGACACTTACTCCAAGTACGGAACTCCCAACGGAAATCAATGATGCAGTCAGGTATCTCCGACAGTTTTAGGGTAATAATCGAACTTTGGCCGTTTAAACTAAGCTGTTCTCGAAACAAAAGGAACCCTTCCCTAACTTAGGTTTAAATTAGATAAATTGAAGTCAACTTTACCTAAGATCTCGTTACCAATTGCTACTATTTCATCTATTGGCCGCCAGCCACTTGAGTTCCGGACATCAACAGCACATCTGCACTGTAGTAAAAGTTTAACGATCTCTAGAAATACAAATATAGGAAAACGCATACTTTCGTCCCTTAGCATAGCAGCGATATGCAAAGCTGTGTTACCTACATGAAATAACCAGACATAGTTAAAGATAATGCTTACCATAATTATCTTGTTTATTAAGAATATCAGATGACGCCTCCTTAACAAGAGTTTCTATCTCGGGTAATCCATGAAATGCACAAAAATGTAACGGATAATCGACATCAACATCCATAACGCTGGGCTCGGATTCGGCAGAAATTTAGCAAGCCCGCCTTCAAAGGTCATCAGTCATGACCTCTAACACTTCGTCCATTCTACCATTTCAAAATACACGAGTGAACACTCCAAACGTGGTTCATTGCTTCCTGAAAATTCTAACGTGGGGATTAAACTATCAATTAATGTTCAATTTAGCATCTTTGAGCTACACAAATGTGGTAGGAACAAGATTTAGAATATTCTAAATTGCATCTAATTACATGTGCATGCCATATTCCCAGGGAGGTTTTATTACTAATTAAATAAATTTTTCACATGCCAATTCATCGTTTATAATTTAATCGCTTTTATTTTGGTGTCACAATGCATTCCTCTATAGGGAGTTTTGATAGTTTGAATGTTTTTTGCCTTACCCTATCAGCCAAACAGCCCGTAAACACTGTGAAAGCTCGGTGGCATGTCCTTTGTTACTTGATATTTTTCAAGACGAACAGAAAATGTTTTTGTGAATTCGATTCAGAAAGTACTGGGTAAGTAAATTGTGCCAATCCTACATCATAAACCCGCTCTATAAACGAGGTTGATTGGCTATAAAATACAGTTATACTTTGTGTGAGTCCAAGTAATAGGTCAAATCAAAATTACGCAGCCAAAATTGAAAACTATCCATCAAGGGTTTGTAAATGCTAATAGTAAAATTGCTTGAAAACATTTATGCAAGATGGTTAGTTGTCAGAACTTTGTGACAAACTCCCATTGATGAATACTTCAGCTTTTGTGCAACAAAGTTGATGCTAAAAACCATCCTACAAAAATGTCACGCAGTATGGGAGGTAAAGGAAAACCTAAAAAAATGAAAAAGGTATTTCTTCAGGCAAACATAGAGTTAATGTCATTCAATGGCTAAAGATTTTAATTTCCATGAATGCAAATGTTATTCGACTAATGTTTATTAAACCCCTGAGACCAATTTTAGTAGTTGAGAAATATGTTCATCAGACAGTCAGTTCCATCCTCGCAGATTTCTTTACGCTCATGTACTATGCAGTGCAGTGCTTTTACATCCACTGCCACACTGCGACTGATAATAATCAATTTACCTGATTATCTCAAAATTTATTTTGTCTGCCATGTCAGACACTTAAATGACAAAAAACAACACAATCTAGTAAACAATTTGGTCTTCTTTGCCTCCGATCATGCACAAATTTCCAGAAATTCGTATAGAAAAAATTGCTGTTAACGATGATGTTTAAGGCATGCACTTGAAATGGGAAGGAAGGCTGAATATGCAGAGAATCAAGCCTCTCTCTTAGTTGCAAAGTGTATAAAATTGTCAAGAAATTTTAACTAGGACTAAAAATGTCAGATGGGTGTGCAATAAAGGCCATTACCTAGAGTTTGCGATCATTAAATCTGTGAGCATACGTTGTTTCAGTGAGGAATTTCTGGGCTTCAAAAAGAAAATTGCTACTAGCAGTTCTCGTTGAAAGTTTTCATGGCTGCTTTGCGCAAGATAAATTATATTGGCTTTGCAGGATTTGTAAACAATGCAAGCATACAAACCTATTTTATCTCAGGCACTATGTTTGATTGCACAAAATTAAGAAAAGCAACTTACTATGTCATAAAAATGAACCATTTAAAGTTGAAAAGTTTGTATTACTGAAGATTAATAAGGTTTTGAATGTGAGTTCAGCCCAATTAGAGCTAGACTAGGTAAAAATATAAAGCAATGTTAATAAGGTACGTGATACATGACCCTGCAGTTCTTTTTGAATATCCGCATACAAACCTCTTTGTTGGTCTATTTCTAACAACCAGAGAATAGCCACAGTCCCGTAGCGCACTTGGCCTCCTGAATCCCTGTTTTAGCCATAGCCATCGTTTTTGATTTTCGTTCCATGAAACCATTGAAGGTTGCAAATATTTTAGCAGCATTTGGCACAACATTTACGTATAAATATAAAAAAATGAAGAAACAATTTCCCTAAACTTCAACAAGCCAATTTAGTATGTCAGGAATCGTTTATGCGAGCCCATTATTCTGGCTGCGCCGCAGATTGCATACTACTTCTCATCCTTTGCTGGATCTGGTTGGCTGCTCATCTTCTTCCCAGGCCATTAAAACGCACAAATAGAGTTGATTGGTAGAGCATGGTATGTCTGCTCACGTGCGTTTAACTATTGTAAAATACCCGAGCCCGAATACGAAAAAGGCCGGTACAAATAAACAAGCTTTATTGACAAATGACAAGCCAGAGCCACACGTCAGGCGCCTTCCATTCAAGTCCACCAAGCTAGCTACGTTGCTCACGATATCCCACTTCCCAAAAGTGTCTGTGTCTGGTTGTCTGCCTATCTTTCTCGTGTGCCATAGGAACGCAGAGAGACACAGGATTGGCTGAGGCTAGCGTGGTCCAATAGGTCTGCGCTTCACTATACATGGAGCTTTTTATATATTTATTTTTGGCCAAAAAGAATTAATATGTCCTACCGGCAAAAAGGAATAAAAAATGAAGCTTATAACAAATTACGAACATTACTGTAGATTTACTAGGGTGAATAAAGCTAAGATAGCCTAGGAATTTCCACGGCGAAGAAACAATGAAGTAGAGTAAAGGGTAATGTTAGTTGTTTGACGCGTCTCTTAGAATTCACATAGTGAAAGAATAGAGCTGACTAAATAAAATATTCAGGAAATAAAATTCGAGAGAATCCATTGCGAGTCTAGACTATCATAGATTGTAAAGTGTCATACTTGTGTGCTCATTTATTTTAAATTGAACTTAATTATTACTCATATTTGTTGATGATTTGCATGTAGCAATCCCTAAATTACAATGTTATACAGGCAAGTAACAGAAAGATCTTCTTATTAATAAATTCTAATCAAGAAAGAGGGTCAAAACATCCTCAATGTTTATACGGAGTACCATGAGTACACAGAAACACAATCGTTTTCCAACTTTAAACCATTTATACATGCATGTAATGTTTCGTTTGCGTGTTACGCTTACTTAAAATTCCCTCCCAAACGGGAATTTAAATTCATCTTAAATTCTAAAGGACGATGCATGCATTGTTACTAATAAAACCGAACAAAAAACATATTAATATTTTGCGCTGTGAAAATTTACTGCTAGCCTAAATATAACTGCTGACTTTTGGGGCTGTCTGCACTAGAATTTTCTGAAGATATCTTGTTGACTTCACAGAGCAACATGATTAAAAATACTGTTAGGCCAAAACGTAAGTCAAGATGAAAAATTAGTAAATAAGTTAGTTTTTTTTTATTTAATCATACATCCTGCACAGGAGGTGAAAGGTTTTGCTGACGATGAAGGAATGCTTCTTAATCTCTTCTGCATTTTTGCGCGGACTGTTTGAACCAGTAGTGGGGGTTTCGTTTTAGCGCGGAGTCGGCTAATTCAGGAATAGTAGTGTCTTGCGCTGTGTTTCGTGTGCTGCGATATACCAATGGAGGCGAACCGTGATGCAGCGCAACTCTGCCGTGATCGTGCTGTAAAACATTTTAAGGAAGGAAATATAGCCGAAGCCATTCGTTTTGCAAAAAAAGCACAAAATCTTGACCCAAATATTGAAATCCCCGGTAACTAGAGAGTTTTTTGTGTTAATGTTTAGAGTGTATAACGAGTTCTAATGGAGATGTACCTCTCCGGAGACGCAGACGTTCGAGCCCATCAAATGTTAACCCTTCCCAGCGTGATGTCTCTCGCCCTAGAGACAAATCCGAGGAGAAGAATTTCACTAAGGCTCAGGTTGAGTCAGTTAGACGCATCATGGCTTGTAAAGACCTGTACTCCTTATTGGGAGTCAAAAAGGACGCCAGTGAAGATGACATCAAGCGCGCATACAAGAGGTACTTTTTCTAAAGCTTGCCACATTCTTCTAGTTTGGCTCGTAAGTTTCATCCCGACAAAAACAAAGCACCCGGTGCGACGGAGGCCTTTAAAAAAATTGGCAGCGCTTTCAATGTCCTTGTTGATCCCGTGAAACGGCGTCGTTACGATCAATTTGGTACAATTGAACAAACTAGTCCAGCCGTTACACGCCAACACCACGGTGGTGTGTATACTTTTGATGCAAACGGTGCCTTTGACGGTAGGAAAATTTTGGTATCTTATAGGTCAATTTCTATAGCCGATTTTATCAACATGTTCTTTGGCGGAGGATTTCCATTCTCACAAAATGTAAGGTACACACGTCATGCCCAGCGCCACGAATCCAATCAAGAGGTTAGTTTTCTATTTATTTACATTACCACTTCTCCTCCTTTCAAAAACTGAACCTGCAAACACCTACTTGCTTGTCTTCAATTGTCAAATTTAATGAATAATCAAATTCTAACAAAAAAAAAAGTTACAATCACTAAGCCGCTTACTCCGCACGTTTTTCATGCTAAAATGTATGTAAACAAATTTGAATTTACTTTGAAGTGATACACGCTCCCGAAAGTATCAAATGATTCACGTTACTCTATCAGTTGTGGATGCGGACAGTTTTCCACTGCTATAGTATTCCCCCGTGGCTTCCATCCTATAACCAGAATGTTAGTGTATTTCATTGTGCTGTGAAAGCAAGGTAGTCTAAAGTCTACTTAGGTGTAACGCATCTGTGGCTATAAATGCCTGCGTGGTGAATGTTAATGCATCACCGTAGTGACAGCTAATTCTTAGATCGCTTAGTCGTAGTTCCTTTTGTCGCTTACTTTTGTAGTGCTTGTTTTTTGCAAAGCATTTTGATCTCCCTCATGTTTGGTTTAGGTTTTGTCCCTAACTGCCGAAAGGGACTTCGTATTTTTTATTTAACTTTTTAAAGGCTGTATAAAGTTAAGTTTAATCAGGTAAATATGGCTTTTACGTTGCACGAAAACTTCCAAATCCCCTTTAGCCACCCGGAATCACCGATCCATCTTATAAGAAATAACTTGATAATTTGGGTGCCCTCCGTCTGCACTCCAAATCACTTCTATGTGGTTTTGTAACAAACAGTAGCTTGGTCCTGAAGTACATCATTGGCTTTTCGTTAGACCAAAAAGACGAAAGTAGTTTACTTTACCTCGCGTTCACATAGTTTTCGGCTAATACAATTGTTGGATTTAGTGACTGTAACTCGACCAAATTAGTCACTATTAATCATGTCAGTTTGCATCTTAAATTCCTACGAAGTTTGTAACCACATCACATTACCTATTCACGAGTTCCTCCTTGTTCTATCTGCGCTGAACACATGGTTTTTTTCTTTTTCATAGGGTGGGGTTTCAGTTTTCCAAATACTACCTTTACTATTTCTGTTCCTTCTGTCACTGATGAGTCGTTTCCTTCAGGAATTATTGCGACTGTAAATAAACATTGGTCAATCAGATTGTTGTAATCTGTGTAATTTAATTTTGCTTATGATTTTGTCTTGAAATAAATCTCCGCCCTATAAATCGTCTTCTTTTTCCCCATTGCGCCCACAGAATAATTATTTCGCCTACATCCAAATTTTGCCACTCCTTATCCTCTTCGGGCTATCATTCTTCAGCAATCTTTTTGTCAAGGACCCTGTTTTTAGCCTTCAAAGAACCTCGTGAGTTTTACCTAGTCATTTTCTATCGTCCGTTGTTTGTACTTAAGTTCATTGCGTTATTTCGTTTGCGTATATTTTCATACTTGAGAAGCACTCGAACACACATTCGCCATACAGCAATCGTCTCCACTAATTCCACTAGTCGAAGGTCGGAATGTCCTCCCAAACGTTTTGATCGCTTCATGTATTTAAAATTTAGACCTAGCTCTAAATAGGTGTGCTGGTAACGCTCTGCTCATATCTTCATTTAATGCTATTAGTGTGAAAACGCTAGTAGCCTTTTAGTCTCTCATAACCTAGGTGATTGATTTACATTAACTGAGCTGTGCCCTCTCCTTTTTAGCAAATACAATGTACAGCGCTATACGTACAAGCATGAGTTGCCATACTTTGTTAAGGAGACTTTCTCACAGGAACACGACGGACCTCTACAGAACATTGAAAATCAGGTGATCGAACAGCACATATACGTTCTCCGGGACAAGTGTTTTAGGGAGCGGGCGCAAAGTAAGTCCAGCGTTAAGTTTTAGCGCATAGGTCGTCCGTTTTCCGATGTATTGCCGTCTTAATCAAAGCCCTGCAAAAGTAGTTAAAAAATACGCGTTTGTGCATAGGTTTAATGGAGGCCTTTTAACGCCAGTTAACCACGTGCCTGTTAATCCTCACCGAACGTGCGAGTTGTCACCCTGGAAGACGTGCTGTGTAGAATCACAAAGCAGCTGTCACAGTGGCCGGAGTGTAGCGATGTAAAGCTTTGGGATTATCTCTATTCGCCACAAAAAAACTTGCGGGTGATTCGCTAACTTAACTATTCAAGGTTTTCTTTTTGCTAATATTTACGACTCGGTCGTCGGTAAACACGTTTAATGATTGTTGACCATCAAAACAGAATTACGTTTTGTCTATCTTTACGTATCTGTAATTTTTTAACCAATGGAAACTCCTGGAAAAATGGATAAAAATAGCAGAAATTTCCAAAAGTTTGACGTTGGGATTTACCTGACTACCCTCCGTGACAAAAAATACGACTTTTGGCGTTTTTGATATTTAACGAGGCTACCTGTACACACAGGTGGGAATGCGCTCAGAAACGTTGGCATGGTGACCTGCTAGACAGTGCTTGAGATGTGTATCTCGCAGGGTGTATGGATGGGAGAGGGGAGGGGTCAACCGCTAACACCGAGGTGGGGGCGTTGTGCGTTCCGTGATAAGTTCAGGGTGGCATCTTTACCTCCCCATTCTGTTGCAATTCTACCTGACTGCAGTGTTGGCATGTTTGGTAAACGATCAAGTGTCTGCTTTTGCTGGTAACATTCTGTTTTGAAATGCCTTGATGGTGGTACCACTGTTTTAGCAGTTTTCGTATCGTGCTTAGCGCGTCGACGCTGCCTCGCATCCACGTGGAGTGTAGTAAACTACCACATTGACGTGCTTCGTGTTTACGCGCCACGCAGTTATTGTGGCTGGGGCTTAGCCGAAGTAATCACAATGAGTTGGTTGCAGTGTTCACACAGGCCTCAAGGACATTTTCGCCTTATCGAAAGGTCTTGGACCTCAGCGAACACAACTTTCACAGCACAAAACACCGTCTTTGACACCAAAACTCATTATCGCGTGTAAGCTTGGGAGTGAAGAATTAAGTGCAAAAAACTAGTCGATGGTGTATGTTATTGAGACGTATTCCTAACTCCATAGAAGTTTTCTTATTAACCTTAAAACAAATTCGTTCAATTTTTAAAGTAGCGTTTAAGGCAACCTTGCTTTACACGAAGGTGCCTGGAGCGGTGTTTGCTTGTCTTAGTTCGTGTCACGGATACTTGTGATTTTTTTCCAAATACTGTGTTAATCCTCGAGTGTTCACGGATGAACAGTTCCTTCGTCACATAACTCACACCACCATTATTTCTCAAGAGTTCTGTTATTTCGAAAGAATGCGGTTACTGTGGGTGCTCGCCATAGAGTGTTTAGCAGCTCCTGTAAACGCCATTTAGTACTTGTCTAGTGTCATTTTTCTATAGGTACTTACGAAACATTAATACTGTTCTCCTTCTTGTATTGGCGGAAACATTTTAGTGCCACTCTCACCCGAAAGCTTAGTCATTCGTGCTGTGATTGCACAGCACTTTGTATGTAGTCAGATTTGGTTAGCACAGATCTACTTTACGGCCCCATATTGGGAAAATACTTCTTTCTCGATATAGATCCTTCACTTTTTACTTTGCCTCTCTCTACAATTCCAGGTTATCGGAATTGAAATGGGCCTATTGTGTGTTGGGTCAGTGTGAAACGGACGCAGTAGTGTCTCGTTAATAGGGTTAAAGTCAATGCTACAGGCGATCAGTGCCACGTTCGGCATACGAAACACCACAGCACCCGCTGGAGAAAGCGACGTAGCGGAGTGAATTAATTAACTACGCGGACCTCAGCCTCGATTTAACATTGTAACAAGCAGGGTTCTAGTTAGTATTCCTCAAGGCCTAGGTTTTGGACCGTCGTGTCTTGCTATCACGCTTCATTGTTTGTTCTGGTTTGCCTTATATCGTTCGTCGTGGGATCGCCATCTGTCGACGGTTATACTTCCGTGTCGGTTTGAACGGCCTAGATGAAGTGAGCATGGTAGTAGATGTTCCTTGAAAACAAATACCGTCACGCACTTCTTTTGCTCATCTCACTTTTCGGGAGTAGCAATGTGTCAAGCGGAGGCAGTGTGGAAGTTCTGTTGCGGATGCTCGATGCGACTGGGAAAGAAGGAAGACGAAAGACAACGGGTCTCAACCACTTTGTGCCAATTATGAGGCTGTTGCTTAGTGGAACCGTGTGTCAGCACATGTATAAAAATGTTACCGAGGCTGCAGTTAAACCACGGAGCGAGAAGTTCATGGAAATAAAATAAACAACCTCATGAATGTTCGATCACGCCCAGTAATAACATTTACAAACCATCTTCTTCACGTCTCGTGTAAGTGAGGTGGTTGCCAATCGTAGAAATAACTCCTTTTACGATCCGACTTTTGGCGGTAATTTAACTTTTGAACTTGCTATATTGACTTAAAACGGTCACCACAACTAACATGATGATGGCTGTTAACCCACAAAATTCGGATGAGCTAGCAAACGCACGGGTAACTGAGCGCCCAGCTGAGTGGTACGCGTTGCAGGGTATGCATGTACGCAGGACTGCATGATCAAACGTGTCCGCATGAGCTATGTAGACCCTGAGAAGAAGGGGGTGGAGGGGGCCTGGTCGTCGGTGTTCGGCGACGGGATTGATGAGCGTGAGTCATCGTGTAAATATTTGGCAAGCCTTTTTCCCAACAGGAATACTGTAAGGAAGGAAGGTCGAAGGTTGGGATGTAGTGGACATACGGTCATCGGTAAGGGTAGTGTAGAGAGTGTTTGGAACCAGAAAGTTGTGAGATGATCAGTGCCAATGGTCACTGTCCAGTTGATGCTGATAGTACAACCTTTTTTTCCAGCAGTATATCCGGATGGTCGGTCGCGAGAGTGGTAGCGCCTAATAACTGATCGTTTCCGTGAAATATTAGTGGCTATTTGATCAAGTTGAGAGTCAAGAACCAACATGAGTTAAGCAAGAGTGAGCCAAGAAAGAGACCAGTAAGGTGAGAGAGTTGATGGATAGGGGCAATCACGAGTCGCTGTAAGTCCCTCAAGCATATATTAGGGCATCAATGGACAGCTGAATTGAATTACAGTAATCCTTATAGCGAGTTGTGGTTAATAGTGACAATGGGAATTACGTTTGCCTAGTCTTTAAAAGTATTGCCTACACAGCTAAGGCACTACCTCACAAAATATGTTACTTCATTCAGCATAGTAAAAGAAAATCGGGTGTTGGCGAACATCATTTCGCTTGTTTTTATATCGTGTATATTTTTACCCTTTTTTGCACAGAAGAAACGTTGTTATATCGAGCCCGCTACAACCGTGATGCTGCAGCCTACGATCGCGCGAAGAAGTTTCCCACCCCTAGCTGTGATCGGATGGCAGAGCTGTATGGATGATAGCCTCGACAAAGCCTCTACGTCAATTATTCATTTTACCTCTAGCCCCTCACCCTCAGTCCCTCTATGGTCTCTGTACTTTCCAAATTTTTTCCCATGTGATAATTTCCTCCGCCCCTCACTCTTCCCACCCATCCGTTCTTGAGTGCACCGGGCAGTGCGCTTGCTGCAGGATTGCTGTCCCTCATGCCTCCTCCCCAGTATACGTGCGCCTCCCGCACCTCTTTGTAGCTCAACTAAAGCGGGACTCGCGCGAGCCCCAGGCTTTACCTCTTGCTGAGAAAAAAAACTACTGGTTTCGCAGTGCCTTGTCTTCTTGTTCACCTGTCTGTTTGTGTGTTGCACAGGCAGTTGTCGCGTAATTGCTTCTTTAGACCGTTTTCTCTTCTGATGCCTTTTCGTAGCGCCAAATTAGGGTCAAAATGTACCTGTAAATAATCTAGGAGAAATGCGGTAAAGCGCGAGACTATGTTGTTGTGCCTTTTTTACAGGATTGTGTGTTCATTGCGTGCGTACGCTCTGAACCTAACAGGTATATTTTTGGTCCTGTTGGGGTTTCCGGCGTTTGAGGTCTGTCGCTGGAACTTCCTACTTAAACTAAGCCCTACCGAACGTTTTACCGGATTTCATTAACCTTTTCACAGATTCCCATCGAAGAAGACTTCTAGCCAGGAGTCACTTTAGATGGATTTTTAATATCCTTTCATCAAAGCACCGAGCGTTTGAAGGTGAGTTTACCGGACAGTTAACATTCTCTAGTTCAAGATACCTATTAGCGGATCCTTGAAAAGTTGTCCTAGAAAACTAGGTAGTTTTTGGTCACTGATCAGAATAAATGCGTTGAGCCACCAGTATTATGGCCCAAAGTCATGAGGTAATCTGTGAAATACAAGGGTGATTCAGGTTTGCTCGTCGTACTTAGAACTGTTTTATTTGCACCAAAAGACAGGGATTTTATTCTAATCGAACTCAACACCATTTATCAGTAATTTTGTAAAACTCCTGGGACCGGTAGATCTAGTAAATCATTCAACACGGAATTTCGGCGGACCTATGGCTACTGGCGTAGTCTTGGGTGTCTTGATTGGGGCTTCTTTAAACATGGTGCGTCACTGATTAGAGTGGTCTTACTAGATGTTAGCCGGTACTGTGTGCGTTGACACACATCGTACTCCTGTCACTCTAAGCTGATGTGCAATGCGTTTCGCATAATTGCTGACTGGTTTCCTGTGAACCTCACTTTAAACTAAGCCTTCGCCTATACCCTGTTACCGATCGGTCCGTTACTTTTTAAGCCCATTTGTCGACTTCGCTTGGCACAGCTAGTCATAGACTGCACTCCGAAACAAGGATTGGCTCAAAGCTTACGGCGTATGATTTGAAGTTAAATCGTCTCATTTCACTCCCAGTGTAACGTGGTTAGAGCCTGTCACGTGGTGGCTCTCTGATGGTCTCAGTGAGCCTGAATTATCCACGTGTGCCTGCCACTTGATTTTCCGTCGCAAGGCTGCAATCTGAGTTGCTTGATAAGTCAAGGCTACTAAACAGGGCGAAGGTCTGTGTCAACTTCTTAGTTGACGTCAAAGCACCACGCACGTCATGCTATCACGTGAAAGGTGATGCCATAACCTTCTCTCCACAGTGTTCCGCTTATACCTCGTTCAAAAATGTACCAACTTCGTGGTAGTTGAGTTAATTGCCCCATTTTATTGTGAATTTAGTTGGTAAGTTTATTGTGATAGCCGCATGTCGCTTTCGCTTTGTGTGGTGTCTGGGAGGAGGAAATGCTTCTCCATTCTGCTTACCTTCTTCTCAATACTGTCATAACGCCCCATAGTTTAAAGTCAATCAACGCTTTGAAGGAGTTTTTGCAGAGGTTGTAACTTTCAAATCTGCAAAAAAATTAGTGCATACCCTTCCAACAGTGTAAGAAACCCAAACTATAACAGTTCGTCGTTGTCCCATTCGTGTCTAATCGATTCTTATTCTATCCTGGTTTCTTCCTTCAAACGTCCTTTGACACAAAGCGCCCTTATTTTTGACCAAAATCAATGGTGCCACTTTCTCCAATTTATACTTAACTGTGTTAAACCCCAAATGCTCGACTCTGGTCCACGTCGGGTTAATGGTCTGTTGGCTTAACTTTCCTACTCAATCTCTGCAAATAGCGAGGCGCTTGTGGATGTGGCTGCGTGAGGTGGTGCGTGTGTGATGTGTGCTTTGGCTAGCTCTGAGCGCTCTCTTTTCCCGCCCCAGATAGGCATGTCTCTGAGGCTAAGCTCCTCACTCCTTAGGACCTCGGTGAGTCTCCTCGTCGCTCGCAAGGCATCGGGTGTGGCCGCGAGCGAACGCCTCTGGCGCTCCTTCCTCTACGTTCCCGGTGATCAGGAGAGAAAGATTAACAAAATTTCTAACCTTTGCAACACAACCCAAATCACACCCTCAATCCCGGATATCGTTGTTCTTGACTGTGAGGATGCTGTCTCGGCTGAAAATAAGGTATTCACTCTCAACTCTACTTTGGCAGTCTTTAAGTAGTAGTGAGCTCCCAAGTGTTTGGCAATGTCTGGCAAGTGGATGCGCTCGTGCTAAGTGAGGCGTCCGTCTAATCCATTCCTACTGGGTTTGTGGTGAGTATGCACGGCACATGGACTGTTTGTGAAGCCTCGACTTCTTGTCGTGAGTGTCATGCTACCTCTGGTTCGGCGCGTTTATTGGATTTTGCTAGTGGGGTAGCCCAACCAACCCATTTCCTGTGTGACTAGCGTAATTTTTTTATCAAGGAATTTAATATGACAAGCCAAGTCAACCGCACCACTTCAAGCCTCTTAAATCAATGGCTCTCCCTCTATTCGACTATATTCACGAGTTCGCTGTCCCTTGATTTGTTACCATATTTTATCACTAGCTTTAATAACAGTTTACGTGCTTATCAAAATGCTTTGCCTTTGGTGTACTTTAGTCAAATGACCATAGTCGGTCAATCGGAATGCAGTTGGGACGCGTGTCGGTTTAATGGAACTCGCTGTGATTAGTTGCGATTATTTACACCCTGGTATTCCAGCAGCTGCGATAATAGTCACTTTCTAAAAAAGCGTCAGTATGCAACTGGCAGAATGTGAATGACGCGCGGCACTAACAGTTGCATCGTTCTCATAAAGGCTCTGGCTCGCAGAACCATCGCTACGTCAATGCAAGCCCGCTCCTTCCAGAATTACCGTGACACCCTTCAACGCTGCGTCTCTCTGAGAATTAACGCGCCCTCAACCGGTCTGGCAGCCGACGATCTCCACGTCGTGCTGTCTGCCTCTGTGGAGACAATGAAGCAAAACGGTGGCGAGTGGCCTGGCCCTGACTACATTTCCGTTCCCAAAACCGAGTCAATCGGTGACCTCCAGTGGGTATGTTTTCTCTTTGCACCTTTTGGGGCTGTTATCCAACCCTCCCCAAATTTGTTGTAACTCATGGCTTTTAATAATTGGCATAGTGTTTTTCTGAAGTCACGTCCACTTGCCCAATCCCAGACTCCGACCCTGTCATTAGTTGATTTCCCCGTACTAGTAAAGAAATACCAAAAATTTAATATTCCACAAACTGGTAACTACGGTGTTGCTTGGCCATCGGTTAGTTTCAGACTACTGGATTTGCAGGTTTCGCCAGGGAAAATTAGTCACTAAGCTAGCCACAGCTATCGCTAGAAGGCGGGAGCACCCATTCCCTCTTCAATGGATTTCAGTCGCTATTGCAATGCTTTTGAGTAATTTGTGAGAAACAAGAGACAAAAACTTTATGGAGAAATATTTTCCCCACCGAATAATGATATATTCAGAGTTGGGACAGTTGACTGATCTGTGCTGGGATTAAACAATTCGTCTCCAAAATTTGCTTTGACTTCTGTTGCCGTCTGTAAGCCACAACCCGAAATGCTCTTTTTTTAAATTGTCCTGTACCCACACGTGGAGGTCAAGCTAGCTCTTCAACTGGTTGATACTTCACCTGCTATATAACTGTTATAAAGGCCCTTAAATTCGTGCTGAAACGTGGAACTAGTAAACGTAAGTATGAGTATTCAATTCACTACTTGTAGAATGGTTTAAATGTTTAGCATAACAGTATTTGGTAATGCAACAGCAAGTAATAGCGGCCGAGAACCACATTGTAAAGGCTGTAGACTAGGCGTGCTGTTGTGAATAGACTCTTGACTACTACTCGTCAGGTGACCGGAGGATATCGCTTATGTTCCGCCAAAATCCAGCGGTGCTCGCACCACTAGCCGGACTTAAGGGACGGCTTCAAGCTTCGCAATTCGTCATGTTTTTCCTCAGTGGAAGTTCGACATGACTAATACAGAGCCTCCCCACATCTGCCACTCTAAGTTGTCTCTTTGCGTTGCCAGGTGGAAGCACAGGTAATGAAGATTTTCCGTAAACACTCAGTCTCGCGGATTCCACAATTAGCCCTCATCGGAATGATTGAGTCTCCGAGCAGCCTTATGAATATGCGTGTGCTTTGTACTGCCGCCCTCAGGACCCTGACATTGCCTTTGGTTGCGATGGTCTTTGGTTCCGATGATTACTGCGCTGGCCTCGGTAAAGCCTGACTTAAATGTCTGCTACTAATATGTTATCATTAAGTAGATCTAGATTTTGCCTTTTATCTCAGGCGTTCCACACACAAGCAGTCACCAAGAAGCACTGTTTGCAAGGCAATACATGGTGACTATGTGCCGGGCCTACGGTTTGGCTGCTCTTGACCTCGTGGAGACAAACCTAACTGGTAAGTTGTTAACACGCCGTCTAACATACTCGGCGATTTCGTCACCTGCTATGCCATCAAGCCCAAGTCAACAGCATGGTTGCTGAAGACGGGCTTCGTTGTCAGTGGACTCGAGTTTGTAGAGTGGGCATTTGTGAAAAGCAAGCTTATCAGGCGCTAATGCGCAGTTAGAGCAGGCAAGTCTTCCCAAATTTCGCTCTCTTCTTCGTGACACTCATACTGGCCTCAAAAGTCACCCGTTGTAGCTCAATATTTGGCAACCCATGGCCACCAGCATAGCTTAATTTGTGGTTACTTTAAGGTATGAACTGTGTGGTGCAGCTCTGTATGGCGTCTTTATAAAAAATCTGGTAATATGATGCACACCCCACATCTCCCCACCTATTCCTTTCAAGATATGGAGATGTTCCGACAGAGCTGCGATTTCGGCGCCGGACTTGGCTACGACGGGAAGCAGCTGATTCACCCTCGGCAAATAGAGCCCGCCAACGAGGCCTTCGCTCCCAGTCAAGAACGCATCGAATGGGCCAAAGCCGTGGTGGAGGCGGCTTCGGCCCAGGCGGGCTCGTCCGTGGACATCTCCGCCTTGACTGCCGGCGCTTTTGCCTTTCGTGGCCACATGATCGATCGGTCTACTGTGAGACAGGCGGAACACGTCGTCGCCCTGGCTAAACTCATGAGTGGACGCTGCTGATTTTTAAGCTTATTCTATTGTTTTCGAGTGCTCGCCTATCACTGATATTTTACCGGAAGCAAGTGCGTCCTCTTTTTTAACTGTCCTCTGATATGTTTCCTAATAAATGCCTGGCCAAAAGAGTTCAATCTAGATGTTTACAACAACAGGCTGAGCGGTTGAATTCGGTGTTTATCTAATTTAGTCTTGGACGTTTTCGACGCCACCTGCTAACACCCTAAGTTATCCCCACTTAAAACTCCTCACCTAATCACATCGGTCGTTGTTTTGGTATTTAAAACCAACTCGCAATGTAGCAAGGCCTTTAGTGCACAGTTCCCAGTAAAATTGTACATATCCGAAAGAAACATCGGTTCCCCTTTTTTTTCTTCAGTCTAGTTTGGCGAGCAGTACTAATTATAGCCCTAATACGTTAATTGTCGTAATTGAGCCATCGTTTTCGTGTCTGGTAACCTGTCGCTCACGATTACCTGACGTTTGTTCGCTCACCCTTTTGCCATGATGCAATGCTCTGAGTTGGAGTCTTGTAGAACGCCAAGTGGCGCTTCCTCGATTTGTGGTTTCACGGTAACTGACTTAGTCGTGTCGGTATGTATCCAGGTTAAAATGACTTCTTAAACCTACTATTACGCGACAGGTGCAAATTTGCCCTTAGGCAGTGCGTAAACTTCGCAAACGGTAACAGGTTGTGCGTGGAACTTCCGCCTGTCAATTACACAGGGTCTGTTTTATTCACAAATAAAACGTTGTGAAGGTCGCATTGTAGCGAGTTGCTGATGACTACAACCAGACAAAAATCCGATAACTTAGAACGGCGAATCGATGCCCTCAAGATTTTCCCTCGATTGGCTCTGACGCATTTTCGTTTTCTTCCGCGTCTACCGACCTGCGATCGAAGCTTTCCAGATGTGGAAATATGGCACTGCAGTTCTCGCTTTCACTGATGCTGCTTCGTACTTCTCCTGATTTCTGTTGTTCAATTCTCCAATCCCTTCGGTCTCGTTCGTCAATGAAGTCCCGGCCTTCTAACAGTAGCTTTTGGTCTGTGTTCTGAGCAGGGTTCTGCCCCCCTCTGTTGGGGTCTTGATCCTCTGACAGTGGATGCTCAGTCTTTCTTCGATAAAGCACTGCTTCCTCACGGTCCCTCGTATCAATTGACGCTTCTTTCTGGGGGCGTTCTTCTTGGTGATGTTTAGGGTCAATTTGTTGGACCTCTTTAGCATATTTGCCCTGTCCCCTTGAATTGAGCTCTTCCTCCGCATATGCGGAATAAAACTGTTTGCCTCCTCTTCCATTCTCCACAGTGTAATTCCCATTACTTTCACCCAGGTCGTTTTGCTTAAGCTCGTCCTCCTCTGCACTAGCTACGCACTCTCGCTTGTCGTCAGCCTTCAGAGGTGTATCGAATTGTCGTCTTCCATTTCTCAAAATTGTGTGCCTACGTCCATTCCACCTTTCACGTAATTGAAGCTCACGTAGTTTTTGAAGATTGGTGTTCTCTTGTAATTCCTTCCAGTCGCCTTCAGGGTTCTGTTTTCGCAGTCGCGGCGGGAGACGGGAAATGGGTTGGTTCTCTTCCATGCGCTGTTGCGAGGACACAAGGCTGTCGCAGTGAGACATTTGCCTAAATTTAGCATGAGTTAGCTCCACTAAAGTTATGTATTTAAAGCCCTGGTTGAGCAATGGAGACCCGACGCCCCTTTTAAACCCCCCGGAGTTGTGTAGCTTGGTGGCGAAATCGTTGATGAGTTTCAGGAACAAGTGGTGCTCACTTGGCTCAGTCATGTAGTTCACTTGAACCAACCAATTGCCTCGAGCAAGCAACGCCTGCTCAAATGTGTTTGGTATGCTTATAGAAAGGGTCGCCGACTCATTTTGAACCTCCGGGCCGATAGAAGCGTTTCCATTGGCGTTTCTCACCCTATTCGCTGCAGTTTTTGGACTTGAGACGCAGGTTTGGGTCATTGTGTTGCCGTCGAATACGGCAAGCTCGCACTGACATCTTTTGGCTATAATGTTCCGCAGTGTTCGGTAAAATGGACTTACAAATAAGTCCTGACTTGTGGTGCCCTTCGGAACGGCAAATATGAAGAGCGCGACTTCGTTGTGAGCAACAGCAGTGTTCGGGAGCACTCGGCAGGCGCCGTGAACGGAGTGGTTTGAAGCGGCTGTAGAGGCGGCCATGCGGAAGGGGTGCCAAATGGGTGCCCTCGCCACATGAACGCAACAAAATCGATCCAGACGTCTTTCAAACTGCGCGGCGGGAAGGGTCCAACAAAAGCCTCATTTGTGCCAGCTGAGACATGTGTTTCATTTTTGTTGATCACACAGTTGATTATGCGCCTCTATAATTTGCCATCGCCGTTAATTCGTAAAATTTGGCACAATTCCAAGCCTGTTTCTCTAAACGTGAATGAAAAACCCACCATCGCGTAGACTCCTTTTAAAACCGACATAAATGCACGTAACCAGTTTTGGCCCTCCGGACACACTTATTTGAGCGTCCTTTCCAGTGATCCTTAATTAAACCGAGATACACTACCATCACACCATATATGATTTGCGTTTTAGGGCCGTTAAACTATTTATTTATGCTCAACCATCGATGGTTGTATGATTTTTTTTAAACAAAGATGCAAAATCGAATCCGGGAGTGGTGCTGTTGATCCAGATGGTTTACGTTCCCTATCTTTGTTGACGCATCTTCACAAGCCTTAGAAACCCTGTTTGCAAACCTTTTTCGGTACATATTTGGAAGCGCACGCACGCACCCACGACGCACATAATTTCGTTTGGAACACCTAACAGACGGTTGAGTCACCATTGTCTGGAGCCTTCTCATTTTCCTCGCAGTATCACCTTCCATAGACAGGCAGAAACGAGTCAGATTCCGCGGATTGTTATTTTAGTCCCACATCGGGGCCTTAACGGTACCGGCTTTGGTATCCGTTAGCGGTCACCTCCGGTGTCAGATGTTAATTTACTGCCGAACGCAAATCACCCGTCAATTTCCTCTTTTGTCTCAACGGACGCTGCAATGTGAGTACACATTCAGGGAATATTGTGCTGTTTATGAACTCAGATTAATTTTGGTAGTCTACGAAATTCGCAATTTGACAATTTGTGCTTGTGTTGACTTCCCTTTCACCTACAAGTTTTCACGTGACGGTTGATTTTTCTGAAAAAAAAATTGATCAAGTAAATGGCCGCGCGCACACAAACGTTTATACATCCCACTGGGTTTGCTAGGTGTCTATAAAACCTGTTAGCTAGGAGGAAAAACTAACAGGTTTGAAACAGGGATTTTATACCTGCATGGCTGTTAGGGGTTTTTTATCCAAACCAAAGCAATTCCAGCAGTCCACTTCAAGTAATGTTCAAAACGAAGGATTAAGAGAGGATGCTATTTTTAGTCGCATCGTCTAGGCGAGCTTGTGAAGGAAAGTCGAGGAAAGAGGACTAAGCAGAAACACAACCGATTTCTTTCAATCCACTTTTTGGTGACCGTAAAAAATGAAGACGGGTAATTAATCGCGACGTGCGCCACCTACCACTACTGAATTCGTTATCTGTTGGTTAATGTAATTAGCCGAAAATAAGTGTTTTTTGAGCCAATTCAAACCAGGTAATGACTCAGGCCACGGGCTTCTTAAATTCATTGTTGTACTTAGGTATAATGCTTTGAAATTGGAGGTTCTCTGTTGATTTGGTTAAGGTGAAAAATATGCTATGCATAAGTCCACGTTGAAGTTGTTAGTAGCAAGGTTCTTCAAGGGTGAATGAAAGCTTATGCTTGTCAAACATTGCCATCTCACACTAACGAACTAACGTGTTTTTTAGAGGCTATGACAAATTCACACTAACTGTCAAACGCCTGGCGAGTGGGTGATATAAGAATGCGTGGCAAGTAGACGCAGTCAAAATTTGCTATTAGCAATCCGCAGTACTTTAAGCACCCTTCTGGGAATGTGTGCGACTGTGGGTAACTGCATATATTAGTTAGACTAACACTTCAGCATGGCCACGAGATTATAGTGACATTCTGACGAACTACATGAAATGCCATTCACCGCTTCGTTTAAATGTCTGCGTCGTGCTGTCGTGAAATTAGAGTGAGGTGTTGGAGGACCTTAATTTGACACTCCGTTTCTCGGTACTTCAAAGCCCCATGCACGATTTGGGCTACGTACTCCTGTCGCATTTCACTCAATACACAAATACAGACAAGTAGGTAGTACGCACCCCAACAAAACCGAAGGTCATGAAATTTTTTATTCTTGGCATTCGATGATTTTTCATTTTGGATTACGCGAAGAGATTCAAAAAAACAAGACAAGTTTTTATTCAACTTAATTTTCCTTGTCTGCATAGACAGCAAGGCATTTGAGGTTGCTACCTGATGACCTCTGATGTACAAGAACGATTCGATTGGCACAGTGGCTTTGCCAAAGGCCCAAGAATCTCTGCTCCCACGGCGGCAGCGCCAAGTACTTTCCCTCGCCACGTTCACCGCAGGTGTTTCGGTGGTGGTTCTGAGCCGAAAGCGACCCGAGTTTCTCCACAAATGACGGCTCCAACATCAACGTCTTCAGAGACTTGAAACGTTGGTTGTGCTTACCGGAATCGCCCAACGCCACCAGACGAAGCTACAAAAATGGCACATTCGTGCTTCAACCTTAAAAAAATGGTCTTATATTACCATGCTGAAATTGCCTCATTTGGTTCACTGATTTGTTTTTTTGATATCATATATCCTGGATCATAGGAATTGAGTTGAGCTTGGCCGAAGCCTCTTTTGCATGCTACTGACGTACTGACATGTATCAGTTCAGTAGAAGAAGCATTTCCACCAATCGCCTCCACTGCTAAGAAAGTGTTGTGTAACCTAAGCTCTGTGAAGGCACTTTATTGTCTTACTGCGTACGCCTTTAGAGAAGTGAACTTTGAATACTAAGGGAATGACAGCTAATTGATATTCTTTCATGGATGTGCGAAGGTTGCTAGTTGTAGGCTTCGACACCAGACCATCCTTTCGACATGAGGCAGCGCCAGTAGGCCACAAGTAGAAAACAAACATAGTTGAACCTTTGTGTCACTAAACAAATGGATCCGTTGACCGAAGTGCTGGACACTATCACCCCTACTACCGTATTTGAAATGACTTGGGCTATATGTTTTGAGAAGCATCTCTGCCGTACCTTAAGAGGACTTATTTAGAATGTAATGATTAAAAACAGAGGGTTATGATGAATATGATAAGATTCTGCCACAACATAACCGACAACTTCCTCACCAGAAAGGAATTAAGCACGGTATTGTGCTCCGAGGCGACGCACATCTTCAACTTGCGACACACATCCCCAATCTCGTCAACTTGAGATGTCACCAACGTGTTTCCTTCCTCCTTGTTCTCGCTTATAGAACTTCCTGGCACGGGAGTTTTCGGGGGTTTCGCGAGGGACGAGGAGCGTGTCTGCGCGGCTTCCGCCGCTTTATCACTTTGCGAGCTTTGATCTGAAGCCTCATTTGGATTACTTGGTGCGGACTGACCAACGGACTCCTGATCATGTCTTCCCTGCTTCGGGACTGACTCCACGTTTGTGCCGATTTGAGTCTGGGTTTTGGCACTCCTTGGAGCCACAGACGCGGTTCTTTCTCCTTGTATCGGACTGATGCCAGAATTCATGACTGACTGTCTGCTGTGTGGCTGATATGACTGAGAACGAGTAGGCTGCGGAGGGAGTCGATCAGCATAACTAAGAAACAGCGCAGTGTCGTTCGAAGTTGCCCTGACTCCTGCCTGTCCGCGACGCACCTGACGTCTATACTGCTTCCTGGTGTAGTAGAAATTCATAACTCGGCGGTGGTAAGCAGAGATCTGGGTGTTCTCACGGGAACCCTGATATTTGGAGGTGCTAACGTGGATGATGCGGTGGGACTTGGGGGAAATTACATACTGTGTTCCTTGAATGTTCTTCTGAATGGGCCTCTTGTGTTCTTCGTCACCTACCCGAAAAATCGGTCATTTATTTAGGTAAAGTGAATTAAAAAAACAATTCTAATCGCCGCTTTTAAACATGATAGGGGAATGTACGAAGGTCCAGGTGCGTGTCGGTTGATTCGCATACCAAACTTCAGACTGAACACCACTACATTTGGTATTTATCCCTCTTGTTGCTAAAAAAAATGGGCATTACTCATCAAGAACAGACTATAGACTGCAATGGTCCACAAATAATGAAAGAATTGATCATTTAACAGAAAATCTGATTTTGGAATCTTACGAATTTCTCACAATGTTTAACCATCGTGTTGATGCTAAAACCAATATCTGCTTTCAAGAGGTTTAATTTATAAAAAATAAGACCATGATCAAAAAAAGTATTGATTCGTAGAAACAATCTCCACCAAAATAAATTAAAATTAGTCTTTATGAAATCTGGAACTGCAATAAAGGCCACATGATGCATCCTACCTACAAATTTTCGAATAAAACATGACATTGCTTTGGCCCCAACCTGGACGTCTAGGTTTAAAACCAAACGCATTTTAGTTAAGCGATGTAAATGAGAAAACCCACCTCGAGAAGACAGAATTTTCTGCGCCTGTTCGTCATTTTGGTGTTTTACCAACAATTTGTTGAGGAGTGAATTGGACTTTTCGCACTGGCTTAGCTTCCGTTCACGTTCATCCTCGAGTAGTTTGTTAATATTGATCTTCCCTGCTAAAAAGTTCAATTTTTTCGTAGACAAATAATCTACCCAAGAACTTCAATTCATAACCTAAATATTTGCAATCAAGTCACTAACTTTTTTTCGCAAAACTTAACATGGAAGCGTGTGTATTTTGACTCATGCATCATGTATGCGTGTTCATATTGCAGTTCAAGTGACCAGGTGCACACTGTTGGTAATTGAGATCTTCTTGATGATTTTAAATGCATTCGTCTGTTCGCGCACTTCAAAAACATTGGTTCCCAATTTAGAACCGAAGTTCACAACGTTTGCTGCGAGGGAACGGTTAACAAAGTAGAACTGGGTCTGATCAAAGTTTGTCTATTATCAGCTGTGTTTATAAAGTAAACCAGATATAGGCCCGGATATCAGGTTTAGTTCTCTTCAACAGACACCTTGGAATGTTTGTTTTCTAATGAATTTAATTTAAATGAATTTGAGCAGTGCTGT